TAGAGTCCTTGGCCAAATGAGGGAACAAGATCACCCAGGGGAGGAGCAGAGCAGACTACAGGGAGCACCCTCATGGGGAGGGCACAGTGCCACCTGGGCTGGTCTGCAGGCGCTGGTGAGCCCCAGGGAATTCTGGTGCTGCTGGAGTTTGAGAGGTGCCGGTCCAGCATATGCAAGCATGACTGTCTAAGGCTGCGCCCTGGGAGAGGACCTTAGCCAGCGGAGGACATAATGATGGAGATGGAGAAACTGAGTGTGGGGGGAGGACGCTGAGGGGCGTGCAGGTGGCCCAGCTGTCTCAGTGAGGCAAAAGCATGGGCAGCTGCAGCTGTAAGAAAGTTAGTAGGGGTGAGATTAGGACCCTGGAGGATGGAGACCATTTAAAAATCATGAGGGAGTAGCCCTGGCTGATGTGGTAGTTGGTTGTGCACCAAAAGGTTGACAATTCAATTCCTGGTCAGGGCATATGCTCTAGTTTGGGGCTTGATCCCCAGTAGGGGGTGTGCAGGAGACAGTGATCAATATTACACTCTCACATTGATGTTTTTCTTTCTCTGCCTCTTGCTCCCCTGGGTGATTGAGGCCAATATGCATATACCTCTTAGAGGTCTCACAGGTACCTTCAACTTAATTCTAAAACCAAACTCACCATTCCTCTCTCTCTAAAAATCAATAAACTGTTATATTAAAAAATCATGAGGGAGTTGTGAGTCAGCCAGAGATCCATGGAAAGATTGCCAGGTAACATGGGCCCATGTGGGAATGTGGTAGCAAACATTTCTCATGACTGTGTCGTTTCTTTAACAGGTTGAGAAGTCAGGAGGGAGCCATTCATGGACTGAAGTGGGGCTGGAGGAAGCCAAGGGGATGGGAGTACTAGAGTGTGGTTGATGCTGGACTATTAAGGTAGACAGGCTCACTATAGGGTCCAGGCAGGTGAAATAGGCTGGTGGAGGGCTAGGGGGCCTGGGAGTGGGTTAGTGGGTCAGAGAGAGAAAAATGTGGGGGACAGTGCACGTGTGCGGTTGACTGTAGAATGAGCTGTGTGTCTCTTGGGATAACTGGGGAGGTGGTCAGATGCTAAGAAAGATGGGATTGCTTCCTATAGGTCTGTACATGGTAGTGACGAAGATGGGACGTGGGCGTAAGCTGGCCTTAGAAGGTGGTACACATGTAACTCAGAAGCACAAGTGACCGTGGGCTCCCAAGGCCAACCCAGTGACCGAGGCAGGGCGGCTCAACCGGGCCAGAGCCTTCTCGGCACCATGTCACATATATTAACTCACTTGACCCTGAAACACTGACCAGGCAGGGGCATTACTAATAAACCCATTGACAAAGGGGAAACTGAGGCACACAAGGTTTAGGAATCGCCCGAAGTGGTAGGTGGTCAGCGATGGAACCAGGATTTGCACCCTTGCCGTCTGTGGCTAGAGCTGGGGGGCTGGCCCCCCACTCACTGTCTGCCTCGTAAGTGGACTGGGGCTTAAAAGGTTAATTCTTTTAAGAAAAAAAAAAAGGAAATAAAAAATAATAGTTTATTCTCATATTATTTATGTCATATCCATCCACTAGAAAATACAGTAGAGCGCCAAGTATACAAGAAACATAGTTCCCCATGGCTGTAGTTGGAGTGACGGGACAGTCCCTTCTGGCTGACCTCGTGGGCCTGTTGGTCTCCTGTGCCCAGGGCACCCCTTCCTGCTCCTGCCGGAGAGGAGCTGCTCCCTTCATAGCTCAGCTCCTGGCCTGGGTCAGTGGTTGCCAGGGACCCTTCTCCCGCCTGCTTGAGAGTTCACTGCCAGATCCTGGAGTTTCTCATGGCCATAGTCACCCCTCGTGGCCCTGTGCGCTCTCCAGAGCACCTTGTTCGCTTCTCCCCTTGTCACCCAGCTGTCCCGACTGCAGGGGCTCCCAGACTACTGGCCAGTCGGGTGCTATTGTGATGGCTCCTGGGTCAGAGGCAGAGGACCTTGCACTCAGGCCTCAGGCACGGGAGCTGCTGGCTCCTGTCAGTGCCCCGACCCCAGCCCAGAGGCCACATGGCTGGGGCTGCTCCCACAGTGGGCCCGTCCCGCCCAGGAGCCCGAGCTTAGGGAACCATACCATTCAAAATGGCTGCAAGCAAACCCTCCACCCTTTGCTCTGTAGGTTACATCGCCATTGTCATTCTAGACAGTAAAGCCCTGCCCTGCTTCAGAGACTCCTGGCTTCCTTCCGAGGCTTCACAGGGCAGACCCTGGAGCCTCCCCCAACAGCGCACAGGAAAACAAGCTTCACCGCTAAGAAATGCCAGAGGAGCCCTAACCGGTTTGGCTCAATGGATAGAGCGTAGGCCTGCAGACTAAAGGTCCCAGGTTCGATTCCCGTCAAGGGCATGTACCTTGGTTGCGGGCACATCCCCAGTAGGAGGTGTGCAGGAGGCAGCTGATTGATGTTTCTCTCTCATCGATGTTTCTAACTCTCTATCCTCTCTGTAAAAAATCAATAAAATATATTAAAAAAATGTCAGAGGAAGTGTGCAAGCCTACTGGCGAGTCATTTCCTACATGGATCATCATCATCTTAACCCTTATGCTGTACTTGTGGTTACATCATTATAATTGTTTAATATAATAACTAATAGAGGCCTGTTGCACGGATTTGTGCACCAGTGGGGTCCCTTGGCCTGGCCTGCACCCTCTCACAATCCGGGAGCCCTCGGGGGATGTCAGAGAGCCAGTTTTGGCCTGATCCCTGCAGGCCAGGCCAACGGACCCCACTGGTGCACTAATCTGTACACCAGGCTTCTAAGATCTTTGGTTAATCCTTTCCTGCCCTCCCCCCTTCCCTCTGAGACTTATCAGTCTGTTCCATGTTTCCATGCCTGGACGTTGAGCATCTGCCTCCTGGTGGTCAGTGTGCATGAGCTGCAGAGGAAACACCTTTTCTGACCACTCATTGGCTAAGCTCCCGGTACGCCACTCACAGTATTCTGAGTAACTTGGGTAATAAGAATCCAAGAAGGTGATTTAGGGTTTTTCCACCTCACTCCTCCTTTCCCCTCCCCTCCTCTCTCCTGGCCTGCACTTGGCCGCAGTGGCTTGGGCAGGCCCCCCTATCTTTGTCTCCGCTCCGGGCCTCACCTGTGCAGGTAGCCTCCTCCTGACTGGTCGTGACTGTTACGGTATCACAGCTAATTTGCATATCACCTCTTTTTATACACACACACACACACACACACACACACAATATATTATTAAAACAGTTTTGTTTGGGCAGCGGATCTCAGATAGTTCCCAGAGTACTGTTGCTCCGTTTCTACCTGTCAACACTGCTGTGTGACTTTGCTCATATGTCACAGTGCTTATGACACACTGTTACATGTGGGAGCCCTGGCACTTCTGGCTCATTGCGGGCGGCTAGCGTGGGGCAAACACAGCGCCCACTCCTTTTATCTGTCTCACTCAGAGGCTTTCCATACAATATTTAATGGGTAACAGAAAATTCTTGCTTAGAAAAACACATTATTGCCTAGAAAGAGGAAGAAGGAGAAAGCACTATTTTTTAAAAAAATATATATTTTATTGATTTTTTCACAGAGAGGAAGGGAGAGGGATAGAGAGTTAGAAACATTGATGAGAGAGAAACATTAATCAGCTGCCTCTTGCACACCTCCTACTGGGGATGTGCCTGCAACCAAGGTACATGACCTTGACCGGAATCGAACCTGGGACCTTTCAGTCCGCAGGCCGACACTCTATCCACTGAGCCAAACTGGTTAGGGCAAAAAATCACTATTAAAAAGTGCTGTGCTTTGGTGCCAGAGTGCTGTGCCAGGGCAAGGTTCAGAGCTGTGAGGCTCTTCTGTGAACTGGGAGTGTGTTCTGTGACCATTCCTACCTCATCTCCCTGTGGAAACAGCCACTGTCCCAGGCCCAGCACTGCTGGGCAGAACCTACACTTACACCGGAACAGGCGCCTGTCCTGCCCGGGGACTGCATGGGCCTGGGCCAGGGGAAAGGCCATGCCACTCCAAGTCTTCATCGAGGCCGAGGAATGCCACTCTCCCGGTCTCAGGACACTCCCTGTCCCCTGTCACACACGAGGAACAGGTGCCACAGTCTAAGGGCAACCTGTTCCTTTAAACCAGAAAGTGGAAAATAATGTTTAGGGCAGAATCGGCTAAGTGGGCGTGTAGGTTCTTTATTTGTAACTCATATCTTTTAAGTTCTTTTCGATGTGGAAGGGAAGGTTACATGGTTTATTAAGAAACATGGATGTACTTATAATTTTGTTTGTCATGGTAGGTGTAGATTAGTGCATTACAGTATCAATATGCATCTTTAAGTTCAGCTTCAGATCAGTCATTTGGTGACTTTCCAGGAACATAAGGAAGTTTTTGTTTTGCCTTGTCTAGTGGGTTTCAGTTTAAAAATATGGTCTCTAGTTTGGCCTTGAGGCCAGTATTGTTTATATTGAAAACAAATGGTGCATAATGACTGTTAGGCCCCAGCCTCATGGAGTAGGGAGAAGGCTCTAATGGGAAGGGGAGGCTTTATCTGTATCCCTGGTATAAACCGACCATCTCTGGTCTCTCCTGCCGGGCTAGTCCTCCGCTGCTCACTAGAGGGCGCTGGAGGCTGGGGGCTGCGAGAGGTCCGCTGGCCTAGCGCCTGGACGGGCCTGTTCCCTTGATTAGGATCACAGGTAAAGACTGGGTAATCTGCTTCCTTGATGTGTTAGGAAAGTAATTAATTGTTTAGGATGATTCTGCACAATGTTTTGGATCAATAATTTTTTTTGTACTTTCCTCAAAGCTAATGCTAGTTTACATAATTTTGGAAAAATCAATCTCAACATTACAAACTGTAAGCACTTCATGTTTTTCCTGAACAGACTGACAGTTCAGAGAGGCCGCCCCTTCCCAAGGAAGTTTATGCTTTCTATGTATAGCTAGAAGCATACTTGTTCATGAGATGGAGCACGGTACTAAAGCCATGCCTCTGCTTGCTTTTCAGGGACTCCGGGCCCGAGTCCTGGAGACGCTGGTCGTGCTCCTGCTCCTGGCGCTGCTGGTGCTGGGGATGGTGTGGGTGGCCTCCGCGCTCGTGGACCAGGACGCGGCGAGCAGGGAGTCTCTGTACGGTGCGCCCACGGCCTGACCCAGTTTCTCCCATGGACCCTGCTCACCACTCACTTTTAAAGCATGGAAATAGTTTTTCGTGTAGTGAGCCCTTGTTAGTTTACAGAAGTAAGAAGCCTTTAGAAACATTTAGGAAAGCAAAGACTGCGTAGATGTTACCTGTGTGCAGATATCTTTTTGTTGTTAATTGGTTTCTGTTCTTAAGATTCCATGGAGGGTTTTTTTCTTTTTCTAGACAAGTGTTGCAAAGGCGTTATTTTAGGTCTTTTTGTTGTGCTGTTTAGAAATTATATGGTTTAGGTCCAAATAGGCAATTATGATGTTTACTATACATTAATTCATAGTCAGCTGCTATCTCAATGTACAGTGTTTTGGATTTACTAAAAAACATGGACTTTTTTCACAGATCTCTGGGAGTTCTACCTGCCCTATTTGTACTCTTGTGTATCGCTCATGGGATGTTTGCTGCTTCTCTGTAAGTATTTTTCTGACTTAATATTGATCGGAAAAGAGAGTTCTTCTGTGTTCTAGAGAATTGTGGGAAATTTTCCAGTGACATTCCTTACAGCTTGGAGAGTTTGAAAAAGTTGGCCCTTAACTTTATTTTTTATATTTTTATTGATTTTAGAGAGGGAGAGATAGAAACATCAATGATGAGAGAGAACCATTGATCGGCTGCCTCCTGCATGCCCCACACCGGGGATTGAGCCCACAACCCAGGCATGTGCTCTGACCTGGAATCGAACTGTGACCTCCTGGTTCATAGGTTGACGTGCAACCAGTGAGCTACGCCGGCCGGGTGGCCCTTAACTTTTTTTATGTTCAAGGTAAATTTTGATAAACTGAAACCTTGAAATAATAAGACACTTGTGTTGTTCTCTAAGAAAAACTTCTTTCACAGGGTTGGGGTAAAGGGTGGGTGGAGGGGGAGATACCCACATGGTTGCACACATGCTCACATGCAGAGACTCCCCCCCCCAAACACAGACATAGATACACATGTGCACAGGCACAGACACACATTCAGGGACATACACACACACACAGATATGCACACAGACACGTGCACATGCTGGCATTCGCACACACAGGCACATGAACACACAGACACACCACACACACACAGACATGCACATATACATGCACATAGACATAGACATACGCGTGCACATGCACAAACCCTGCACACACAGACACATCCACAGATATGCACACAGACACACATATGCACACAGACATGCACATATTCACGTGCACGCACATGGGCCCCATACCCTTAACTATTCTGACACTAGACTCTACTTTTGAATGGTAATGATAGAATTGTGTGTGATCAGTTATGGTCTTTATTTTAAAGCTTGCTCAGTTTTACTTAAGACGTCACCATATGTCTCAGGGATATTATAAATAAGTGTTGTTATAAGAATTTAAGATGATAGTTGTCACTTTTGGACATTCTTGTCTGCTTCTCAGTTTCATTAGTGCTTGAAGTCAGTCTGTTCTTTAGTTGGTTTTCTTTAGCTTCTTGTAAGTGAAAATGCTTATCATTCAGCTGCTAGAGCAGCGGTTCTCAACCTGTGGGCCGCGACCCCTTTGGGGGTCGAACGACCCTTTCACAGGGGTTGCCTAAGACCATCCTGCATCTCAGATATTTACATTACGATTCATAACAGTAGCAACGACAATAATGTTATGGTTGGGTCACAACATGAGGAACTGTATTTAAAGGGCCAGAAGGTTGAGAATCACTGCTCTACATTTTGTAGAGGAAGGTAGTGTTTAAAGGCTTGAGGCAGTGAACCAGTTTTTTAAAATTGTACTGGAATACTTTACTGAATTAGGTTTAAATGCAAAAAGCACAAATAAATAAATTCAACAACAATAACAATAAAAATCCTCACTTTTGCACAATAAAAAAATAAAAGATTTTAAAAGAAATGTTATTAATCTTTAAAAAACTGTTTTAGCAAACATTTGAGTAAATTCATGTAATTTAATAATGACTGAATTAAGAGAATTAAGACTATGCCTCTAAATGTGGTTGATTTTATATACATATGAAATAGGTAAATTACAACATAAAGAATTGCTAGATTAAGTAACAATTCTCTCATATATGGACTGACTTTGGTAATTAATTTAGTACTCACTCTCTTCTCCAATTACAATTGATTTCTACTTAGTTAATGTTGCTAATTGTTAGGAAAATGGGAAACTACCTAAATCAGTATAGGCATCTTCTAACCTAGATTGAACGCCATAATTGACTGCAGAGCTCCGTATGGCTTGGTAAATGGAAGCCTTGTTCTTACATTTGTCCCTGAGTATAAAAGAAACAGACCCTGTGGAAGTTTTTGGCAGTGCTGTTAATAGCCACTTTTCAAGAGCTTTTTTCCTCATAAACATTTTTTCCTCTTTCAATGTGAAGTTATTTGAATGGAAAAACATACCATTTCCCACTTAATAAAATGCAATTCGGGTAAAATACTGGTAGAACTTAACACATTACAGTTCTTGACTATTATTGTTTAGTGTTATTTGTGCCTGCTTTACTAAAGGGTTGTTTTGAGGCTGGAGAATACTCCTATTAGGTTTACTCACTTGTTTGGTCTCTACTTTCATTCAGAATTGTATTGTTGTTGTTGTTGTTGGTCTCTACTTTCATTCAGAACTGTATTGTGGTTGTTGTTGTTGTTTATTATTATTATTATTATTATTATTATTATTATTATTTTCAATCCTCACCTGAGGAGTGAGGATATTTTCCCACTGATTTTTTAGAGAGAGTAGAAAAGGGGGGCAGGGGAGGGACATATCAGCTGAGACACATCAATTGGTTGCCTCTCACACATGTCCAACCTGGGGCAGGGATCTGACCTGCAACCCAGGTGCATGTCTTTGACCAGGAATCGAACCCGAGACCCTTTGGTGGTGGGCCAACACTTAAACTTCTGAGCAACACCAGCCAGGGCTATTCCTTGTACTTTTGATATTATACATAAAAAAGAATATATAC